TTTCTTTCAAACAGAAACACTAAAACTAACGCTAAAAAGTTTTAACATACCTGTTAAGAAATGCTTTGATGTTTACAGGATCTCACCCACCACAATTCCAATTCCAGACACAACAATCTTCTCAAACATGTTCTGTTTATAACAATGTGTGTGGACATGAAAAATGTAGATGTTATACCAATGATAGTGTTCATCACAAAAAGCTCTGTTTAAGAATAGTCATCATTTGTTGCAGTTTGAAGCCCACATAGATTTTGCACAAACACAAAAGCAGTGATATCAATTCAGAATTTCTGTACTTATCATGAGCTTATCTGTACATGACTTATTTAATTATTTCCTGTCTTTCTGCAGTAGCACTTTCTCTCCTGGTATGATGGCCTCTCCTGTCCTCACCCTCCTGCTAGCACTGATGCTTTTGATGCCTTGATGTGATCTTGATCATCCACATCTGGACTCGTTACATGGACAGCACCAATGACTCTGCCAGATTCATTTTAGATATTTTTTATTATTTTACTGTATTGATTCATTTTTCATTTATTATAGATTTTCCTAATATAGCGATTTGTTTTTTTGGTGCAGGAACTTTTCATTGTGGTTTTTGTTTTTAAAATAATCATTTGCAACAATATTTTTGTTTGTTTGTTTTTTTTCTCCACATATAGAGAATAAAACTAAATAAAGCAAGCAAAAAGTTAAATGAGAAGTATGTAAAATATCTATCTATATCTAAGTTTAAAACTCCATTTAACTAATATTAGTTTTTAATCATATGATAGTTTTGTTTACTGCAATTTTCAATCACAAGAAATCTACATGAGTTTGACGTTATTAAAATGTAGTGAACAAAAATATACTACTATGATTAGCCACAGTGTGCTTTCTTGGTTGTTGGTGTATTGATGTTTAAGAAAAAATAAAATAAAACCTTTAAATCAAAAACATTCTTGGTCCTCTGTTTTTTGTGTGTGTGTTGCTTAAATGTAAAAAGAGATCACTTGGAAGAACTGAAAATAATTTACTAGAGATATTAATTAATTTGCCGTTTTAGAGTCCAATGATGGCAGAATGGAATCCCAGTGGCAATACGATTTAGGAAAGAATCCCCCAGGGTCTAGACAGTGGAGGTGGTGAAGAAGAAGATTGAGGCTTGGATGGACCTCAGGCAAGGTGACGATGGGGAGAAAGTGGTTTGCATAAATGAGGAGAGCACTCTGAGATTTAAATCACACAGAGTGGAGGTTGATTAGCTCAAATGGGGTCAAGAAGATGATTGGATTATTGTAATGTCAGTATTGAGTTTGATGTTTGTAATGAGCTTTTTCAAAAGATATCATGCATACAACCATTGCACTAAGAACAAGTGTGGAAATTGTAGATAATTATTAACAGGAAGTTTCTCTACCTCATTAGAGTGAGCAAATTATGCACACCAGACCATAACAAGGTAGGGCTGATGTCACTTGGGATTTATAAAACATTATGTCTATCAAACACACGAAGGCACACAGCCACACCAAAATACATGTTGCAGTGAAGCATTCCCATATGTCTAACAACATATTGGGAAAACATAACTGATCACATTCTCATTTTACTATTATCACCTCAACATGTCTTGAAGTTGTCACGGACCGCCGGGGCAGACCGTGTGGAGTGAGTGGAGGACCCAAGAGCAAACAGAGGTGAGGACACAAAACCGGACTTAACAGAAGGCGAGCCTTTATTTAGGGCCGAAAACTTAAGGAACAAGGCAGCAAAGCAACTGAGGGAAAACCTGAACATAGACTGGGAAAACTATGGCTA